CAGCCGGGCCTGCCGGGAAATGCGGGCGCGTTTTCTCTCGGCTCCGCCACCAGCCGGGGCTCGGGCCCGTGCCCGGGCCCCCGGGACATGGCCTCCCCAAGTGCGCAGGGCGACGTCCCCACCTCCAGTCACTGGGACGACGGCGGCGCGGAGACAGGTACGGAAGCCGGCCGGGGCGTCGAGGGGTGGCCTGCGAGGACAGCCCGAGGGACGGGGCGGCCCGAGGCGACGGGGACAGCTGTCGGCGGAGCGGGTCCCGGCGTCAGCGGCGCTCGACGGGCCACCTGGGTGCGCCCAAAGCCGAGGGCCGGGCCGGGCCGGAGTCGGGACGGCGGGGAGGAAAAGGCCGAAGGGAAGGAGAGCCTAGTATAGGGGCCCACGGGCGCGGGGACCAGAGGAGCCATGGTGGCAGAGCCGCATCCCCTGTGGGGAGGGCGGCGGGACTCGGCCCCGGCGCGTCTGAACGGGGGAATCGGGTCTGAGAACTGGGCTCGGCCTCCGCCCGGCCCGAAGCTGTCCGGCCACGTCCACAGACTCCTGCCACCTCCCTGGTTGTAGGGCAGGTGCCCAGACCTCAGCGATCGCCGCCTTGACTTCCGTGGTGTGAGTGGACACGGAATTCTTTTCATTGCCATAATATCCAGTCCTTTTAAAGTGCACCGTTCAGTGGTTCTTAGCACTTTCACAGGGTTGTGCGATCATCCCCACCGTCTAATTCCAGGACATTAATATTCCAAGGAGAAAGCCCACTCCCCAGTCTCCAGGGTTCCTGGCAGACACTCATCGACTTTGTCTCAAGCCTGTCCCACCTGTCTTAATGTTCTTTAATTGTGTAAAAAGCTATTTTCTATTTTTATACTGTCTCACCCTAAGCCATTATTTCTATGAAATCATGGGTTCATTGTGCATTGTTTTCAAATATGTTTGACATATTAAGATCAGACTGTTAAAAGTATTCATGTTTATTCTGTACCAAGTAGAATAATCTCTTTTTCCTCTGGGGAAGATAATTAGCTTTCCCACTTTTTGGTGGCAGCCATAGTAGAACCAGTTGACATATTCAACCCACATATTATGATGAAGCACCTGGTATCCACATCTTGTTTCTCTGGGCTCGTTTTCTGTCGTCCCCCTGTTCTCCTACTCTGGTCCTGGATGGAAGTGGAGCTCCCTCATCATAGTACTTCCCTGGGCCCTTTGGCCTTGTAACCCTTTGATGGTGTGTGACAGCTCTTCATGGCCTAATAGTCCCTGCCCCAAGTGGTACAGGTCTTGTGACCTGTTGTAGTGCAATTGTTTTGAGAGACTACCTCCCAGCTTCCTTCATTTTATTTCTCTGGATGCATGGGAAGAACTTGGTAATCAGAGTATTTTTATTTTGTTTTGTTTCGTGTTTTTGTTTTCCTTTTTGTTTTCATTGTGGTTTTAATCATATTGGAGAATTGACAGTTTTTAACACTGGAAGCTCTCGTTTGTAGAGTATCTCTGCTAACTCTGGTACTGTTTGTTGAAACTAAATAGGGCCTCCAAAAACAAAGGCTACTATGTTATATTTAGATTTTAATAGGAACCTTACTCAGAAAAAGGTAAGGTTTTCTTCTCCCACTGTCTTTCTCCAGTACAGATATGAAGTTCAAGCATAAAATTTTAAGTTAATTTTCTTTTTTTGTTTTTAATTAATTTCAGAGAGGGAGAGAGAGAAACATCAATGATGAGAGAGAATCATTCATCGGCTGCCTCCTGCATGCCCCCTACTGGGGATCAAGCCTGCAACCCAGGCATGTGGCCTTGACTGGAATTGAACCTGGGACCTTTCAGTCCGCAGGCCGACGCGCTGTCCACTGAGCGAAACCGGCTAGGGCAGTGGTTCACAAACTGCGGCTTGGCAAACTGCAGCTCGCAAGCCACATGCGGCTCTTTGGCCCCTTGAGTGTGGCTCTTCCACAAAATACCAACTTCCGCACATAAATACCGACTTCTGCGGATGGGCCATGAAGTTTCAATCGCACTGTACGTGTGCGCCTGCATGTGGTCTTTTGTGGTATTTTATGGAAGAGCCACACTCAAGGGGCCAAAGAGCCGCATGTGGCTCGAGAGCCGCAGTTTGCCGACCACGGGGCTAGGGCTTAAGTTAATTTTCAAGTCAACATCAGGAGTTCAAGGAGGGGCAGGGCAATGTCTGTCTGAGGAGATGGATCTCTCTCTCCCTCTCTCTCTGATTGGTTCTTTCATTGTTTGATTAAGGCTAACATTGCTTAGTTTGAGTTTAGCCTCTAAAGACTGCAAAGCTTTCTTGACGTGCAAGCTTAAACCAAATAAGTGTGGAATTTTGTACTCTCACATAAGATTCCATTATTAAGTATGTAGACCTTTTACCCGAAGTAAGCCATTAATGTGTATTTTGCTGATATGGAAAAACTTTAGAGGAATCATAGCTAGTGTTCATCTTCAGTCCTTGTCCTTTCCCTATATATCCAGTTCCCAAGCCAGGTGTATTTGGAGATAACCTATTGCTCTGAGGAGGCAGGAATCTTCACCTGGGTTCTGTAGCCAGAGTTGGGAAATATTTGAAACACTAAGAGGCTCATCCATCTTTTTTTTAATATATATATATCTTATTGATTTTTTTACAGAGAGGAATGGAGAGAGATAGAGAGTTAGAAACATCGATGAGAGAGAAACATCGATCAGCTGCCTCCTGCACATCTCCTACTGGGGATGTGCCCGCAACCCAGGTACATGCCCTTGACCGGAATTGAACCTGGGACCTTTCAGTCCGCAGGCCGATGCTCTATCCACTGAGCCAAACCGGTTTTGGCGCTCATCCATCTTTTATCTGAACTGTTAAGAACCACTGCTTCAGTGCCCTTATTAGAGAGCAGGCCAAGTAGTACCTCTTATCATTTTTTCCTGTGTTGAATGAATTGCTTTTCAGGCATCAAGGATTTATTTATAGTAGTGTCTTATATTTTGCAGCCAATTGTAGAATAATCATTTCATTCTGTAGTGGTTATCGTAGCCAAGATCTCTTACTGTAAAGGAATTTGGAAAGTCTCAACTTTGGAATATGTAATACATCTCTCTTATTAGGGGTGCAAAAAGGAACTGGAGAAGAAAGGATTCAGGAATTGGGATTACATATGTACTACTTCCTGATGAAATGTGGACTTTTATCCCAAGTTCAATAAGAGCATTCTGGAGTCAGGACGTGCGTGTCCCACCGCAAAATCCATATATAAAATGTATCTTAAAGGAGATAGTAGGCATTAATTTTTTTATTTTCCTGAGCATCCCAAGAATAGCTCTGTAATTTTTCTCTGAGATGAAGAGGATACATGTAAATTAGTTTCAGTTGAGACTCTGCTAACCTTTTTTTCCCTCTTTGTGTAATCTAGCAGTGGACCTTATCATTCTATAATTTATACATTTCTAGCTTACGTGAGTTTTTTGTTTTCTCTTCCCTTTTTATGTCACAATGAGAGTTTATTCATTAGGCGCAATAAATGGTTGTGGGGTGGGCGTGCACTTAGGAGTGCCTTCCTTAGATTAAGTGCCGTTAATACTTAATCACTCAGCTGTGGGATTGAGGAAGGTGATATTGGGGCCTGAACAGACCCCACATTTGAGCAGCATCCTTCTCTGGGAAGTACCAGTAGCTTTAGAAAAAGGCCAAAGAATCTACATCTCTACAGTCATTTGCTGCATAACAGTTTCAGTCATTGATGGACTGCATATACAAAGTCTACCGTCTAGGTTTGTGTAAGTGCCCTCTGTGATGCTCACACAACAACGAAATTGCCTAACAAAACATTTCTCAGAACGTATCCCCTTTGTTAATTAGCACATGACTGTGTTTAGAGTTGTGCAGTAAGCATATTCTCAACAGTAGTATGGGCAAAATTATGTCATTTATTATAGGCCAGTGTTTCCAAAGGAACAATAGCTAAGCTAGCTTTTTATTCTATTCTGTACACACTGTGTTCCCTCAGAGCACCAAAAACCAGAAGGTAGTAGTAAATTTTGTAATGCAGGATTAAAAATGGAATTGGAACTGTGTTGAAAAAACTAAGTACAGGAGCTGTGGTTTGGGTCTAGAAATAGTAAAAATTCTGGCAGATTACTTACGCAAACTAATAGAAATCCAGGTGATTGCAAACAGTGTTATTTCCTTCAAGACACAAGCAAGGATTTTCCTTTCCCCCAGATTGCTGAATGAATAGCTTACTTGGAAAGAGGGGCAGGGTGACTATATGTCTAAACAAACGAAGGAAATTTTTCCACACTCTTCGTAAGTAGGTTAACAAGATTTCTAAAGTCAGTTTATCTCGAACAGTATTCATATTACCATTTAATTGTTCTTAATTTGTGATTTGTAGAAAATACAAGGAAACTCTAAGTAAAAAAAAAATTAGAGGCTATTTTGTACTTTATATTCTTTGTTGGAATTAATTCAGTTCCTTCTCATATTTTTAAATAAAAAGTCTTCTCCCCCTCACTGGTTTGACTCAGTGGGCAGAGTGTTAGCCTGTGGACTGAAGGGCCCCAGGTTCGATTCCAATTGGGGACACATGCCCGGGTTGTGGGCTCCATCCTCATCGAAGGGTATGCAGGAGGCAGCTGATCAGTGATTCTCTCTCATCATTGATGTTTCTGTTTCTCTCTCCCTCTCCCTTCCTCCCTTCTGAAATCAATAAAAAAAATATATTTTTTTAAAAAGTCTTCTCTGTGTCTTGTTTATCTATGGTCCCTCTTTGAAAACATACAGCCTTCTCTTCCAAAGGATGGCCCCTCGACCCTGTCTTTCCTGAGTGTAGGATAAATCCAGCACACACTCTTCCATAAGCTACATTTTTTGCAGTCCTTCAAGCCTCTGTCCTCTTCTTTTACCAATACTTCACCCTCAGAATTATCTCTGTGTTTTCTGGACATGATGTGTCTTTCATGTAAAAAGGTCTTTGCACACACTCCTCTCCCTTCAACCACTCTTCCATGTGCAGTTTTCTTTAAGAAGATTCCAGATATATTCTTGGCAAAGCCTTTCCTGATTGCATGAGAAGTAGTCATTCTTTCCTCAGGAGTTTCATAATTCTGTTATGTCATGTATGATAATTGTTTGTACCCTTCCCTACTGTGAGCCTCTCAAGTGCTGGGAAGGAGTCAAATTAATCTTTATCCTTAGTACAGTGCTTACTATAAATAGATGTTCATTAAATGATAGGCTGATAAATGTATGGACTAATGGACAAGTGGATAGATGGACAAATGGATGGATACACTTAAGCCAAGAGCATGAAGCACCTTGTAAATAAACATTTAACTAGTTAGGTGCCATACTGACAGAGGAAATTGGGACATAATTTTTATGATTTCTAGATAGAGTAACCCTTTAATTTAGCATCCAAGCTGGGACATTTTTGAAAGTACAGATAGCAGGAGGGATTGCTATGAACAGTTATGCCATAATTATGGGTGTGAGCCAGGAATCTCTCAAACCTGAAAGAGATGATCACTCTACTAGGTTACCAGGGAAAAGAACATTCTAGACAGGAGAACAGGTTTACGTAGGTGAAAAGTGACGTGTATTATTTTCCTGTCTGCACCTGCAATTGCATGTGACTCTAAGGCAGTTAATTTATGTCACAGCTCTCATAGGTAGGTAACCATGACCATTAGGTACCAGCTTTCGTTTGTGTTAATAATGTGGAGCTTTGTCATGGATACAATTTGTAGACTGTTGACTCAGAATAGAAAATTATTGAGGAAGACTGCTTCTTTAGAAAGTGTCCCTTCTGAACCTAATCTACCTGCCATTAATCTTCTCTGAAGCCTGGCCTACTTTCTAGTGTTTATCTCCCTCCTTATATTACTCCAGTGCCTTCCACCTAGTATATGCCACATAAATATTTTCAATGACCTGTTTACTGTTAAAGGAAAGGGCCTTGTGTTTCCTGTCTCCAAGCTTTTTTCTCCTCTCTGCCTCTCTTCCCAGCCTCTTGAAATCCTCCTTTTCCTGTTTTTTTAAAACATGTTAACTTTATTATATATTTTTTTAAGTCCTCACCTGAAAACATGCTTTTATTGGTTTTAGAAAGAGAGGAAGGGAGAGAGAGAGAGAAATATCAATCAGCTGCCTCCTGCAGGTGCCTGACTGAGGATAGAACCCGCAACCTGAGTATGTGACCTAATCGGAAGTCGAACCTACGACGTTTCGGTGTACAGGATGGTGCTCTAAACAACTGAGCTACGTGGCCAGGGCCCGCCTTTTCCTTTGTAAATTATACACTTTGCTGATGCTTTCTCAGTTTAGTCTGACTCACAACATTCTCTGAGCTCTTGGTGTCTACACATT